GATTGGTGAGTTGTAGGTCGATAATCGATCTTGAGCGACGAATTTTATACGTATGGGTTATGTATATCGTAAATAGTATGTACTCCATGCTTGTTCAAAACCGTTCTACTCAATCTGCTTTTTACCGCCTCTACGACAAAATGAGTGCACAGTTCATCAGCTATTTGATTGATTAGTTGTAGGATTTCAATTAAGTAATGCTGTGTTGTGAAAATGTATTGAAAAAGCAAAAAACAATATTTTTCAGAATTTTCATAAACAACTATTAGGTTGTTGCATAATTATTGCGGATTTTTTCGTGGCTTTTTTTCTCTCGATAGAATTTGAATATTGAGCTCGGATTTTCTCTAGAAATGATCTACTCGATTTTCTCTACAAGAATATACTCAAAAAACCATCCGCATGTTCGCGAAATTAGGCTTAACTACTTCGAGAAAGATTGGAATGTGGCCCAGTCATTCCGCGATCTCAGTAACTTTTCGGCGATCGAACAATGAGCCAGAACCAACCAAGAAATGGGATCTGCCCCTAAAACTGCCATATTCACCAGCAGAAACTTCTATGGATTATCTCGTCAATCGTTCATCGAAAAAATGGCTAGAGAATAGAAGGGACGTCGATTTGGATGACTTGATGGCCGATGTCAAGGCGTGGATCGCCCGTAAGGATCAAAACTTCTTCGCTTTTGGTATCCGACTAACTAATCAATGGGGAGCAGTGCTTGACGTGATTGTGAATAAGTTCCGGAGTAATTATTTGAATGTGTCTTTGCTTAGTATTTCTATAGTTTCTAAAAGTAAAATTTGCCGGAAAAAATCCGCAATAATTGTGCATCAACCTAATAATTTTGTCCATTTCATTTTTATACATTTTTTATGTATATTACATTTTTTGAGTACATTTTTTACATTTTTTTTTTGATTTTTGAGCAGTTAGTCTTGATTGTCTGACATGATTTCTGTTTCGAGTGCTATCTCAAAAGTCTGTTCTACCTGTTTTTTTTTTCAAAAAAAACCGGAGTATTGGGAAGGAGAGGTCAGCTTCGCCGATGGCTAAGTCATGTTCGAGTATTTCCCTAATATCTACCTGTGTTTGCAGAAAAACTAGCAACGGCGCTCTGGTCAGGTGAATATCATTGACATTTACTGACACCTAAAAAGTGGTAATTCTTCAAGATGACTCAGTGGTTTTCTTCAAATAAGTCTGAAAACTTTTGTTTGTGAAGAAGTTGCTCTCAATCTTGAGGGGGCTATCAAGAATCCGTCTATCTCTTAATTGAATAAAGCTGTGACCTTCTGGAAGCCCCCGTTAGGATTGCTCCATAGAGAGAATCCACGATTTGAGAGGGCTTTCAAATGTGTATCTTACAGATCCTCTTAAAAAATTCAAAATATCATGGGGCCATTCTCAGATATTTTCCTTCACTTTGTTTTTTAACGACTTCGATCAAATGGTCATACAACAAAATCATTGAGAGCAAAATTCCGATACGAGATGCAAAAAATTGCTACGTGCAGGCGATAAAGGGTTTAGAAAGCTGTCATTAGACAGTTGGCAGGTCCAAATAAAAGAAAGACCAACTGAGCTGACAAAGCCTCCTAGTCGATAACTGGTCTCAGAGCACCCGCCAGTGTCAGAATCCGAATTGGAGCACCTCGACAGCAGTTCACAGCTTTTCTGCTGGGTGATAAAAGTCCGCAAGGGGCCAGATTTGAAATTCGGAGTTGGGCAGACGTGTTGATCGAGAAGACCACAAACAAGTGCACTCGTGTCACAGTTAAAATGTAATGTCACCCGAGTGTTCCATGGGTGATAAGATATGGGTGAATCATATGCTACGTGCGTCCCTTATCAGCCAGTCCATCAATACCCCCCTCAAATCTTTTCCTTCACGTACCATCTCGAATCATAAAAATCCAACCTTAACTTATAGACTTGAGCCCATAGACGTCGTTGAGCGTCCTCCCTTCTGTGGCGCACCGCTGATTCTTCATCGGCATCCCCATGAACTTCACTTTAAGAAGTGAAAACTGAGTTCAGATATCGGAACAGTTGTTTATTCGCTGAGATGGATCCGTTTCGGGTTTCATTCAGCTTTGGTTCAATAATTGTCGTTTCAATCTGGAATTTGTAGCCGTCTTAAAATTAAATAGGCTTTAGTGGATTGGCATTTCGATATTTTCCCCTTCGTCACCCTCTGAAATGGCCTGGAAAATGTTGTGCCTTGAATATTGCAACGATGTCCGGGAAAGCCCACTACTGAACCACTGAGGGAGCCGAAGACATCTGTAGGGGAACAACACTGGCACAACTTGATCCCATTGATTGAACTGCGGTCTTATCCATCCTTGTTGGGTCAAGTGGAGTGATCCTTAGTACTTCTAAGTTCCACTCACCTCTCTCCTTTCCCTACCACTATCCATTCCCGTATTCTTGTTGACGACAAAAAGCTCTCATTTGTTTTCGATTTTCTGGGGCTCTTACGAAGGCCTATGCCGGCGTGTTGTCCTAGGATGGCGATAAGTGCCGCTAGTTGTAGTCTTGTAGCCGAAACCAAGCAGCCGTACCCATCATTAAGCTAAAGCACGGTCAATCATGAAGGGTCTTGACACGATTGCCAGTAAACAATTATAAAGGATAAAGTTTTTGGCGTTAATCAATCCCGTCTGAGGGATGCATCCCCGCACTCGACTTCCATTCAGAATCGTAGTGACGTAATGGGTGCGTATGTGGCCTATACAATGACTTGCGGTGGCCAGCCGATGTACAAGTCAGTGCTTTTATCTTCCCAGACGAGTCTGATACCAATTCACCGACCCGGAGGGATGGAAGACTTGGTTGGCCTAGGCGGGCATCGATACGGGATTCGAACCCCTGACCGTGCGTGTGATATAGTGCGCCACTTGCCACTACACAACATCCGCCCATAACCAACTATATTGAGCACAAAAAAACGATTCCGCTAGCAAGCGGAGGACAGTACGTCTCGCTTCCAAGCTCATACGTTTGCTAAGGTGATTTGGACTACGTATTGGATCGGTGCTTCCATCTAGGACCTATGAATCTATGCTGACCTTTGGCACTTTCATAATAGTACAATCAATAGAATGACAGTAAATCAACAAATGTGAGTCCTCTGAAAAAATGGACAGTTCTACGATAACGCTCGTTATCGTTGAGGCTCGAGAAACCGACTTGTTTTCGCGGTCATGTAGGCCCGCTACCTGCTTCTGCTTTTATAGCCTTCCCTTTGATTAATGTCTGCATGTTGCAAATCTTCCAAAGGTCCTTAAACGGGCCCAATGCATCTAAGAAGAGTACCCATCAAAACACTCATATACGAGAGCTCTGCTCTTGCTGAACCGATTCCGTCTGAATTATTTTCGAGACATTCCAAAACAATCAAGATTCAGTTATTTTTGACAGGCATGTGACCAGCTATACTTTGCTGCTGTCGCTCATTAAATACGCGTTGCGACCGCGCGCATACAAATGAAATACTGTATTATCGCACATTCCACCGAAATGAAGGGGTTGAATCTGTTAGGTGTCTCTTCTGTCTCTACACTGATTCTTCTGTCTATTGAAGCAGAAATCGACTCCTTCATGTCGTCTTGCTTACTATCTCGTTGTTGTCAGGATCAAGCATGGTGCCACGGAAAGCGACTGATGCCATTTAACCCTCTGATCCCCCTTTTTTGAAGCTCTCACGGAAAAAGATTCACATTCTTGCCTTATTCTTCTAAATCTACCTAATCCTGAAGCAGGCCCTCGATACGCAGGTAAAGGAGACGAAGTAGATTCATGGGCATCCCAATCAAAAACATGGAGTTTCAAATTTCAACTCCACTGCAACGTATGTATNGTATGTATATCGTTTTTCCTCTACATGCTCCCCAAGTAGCCCCCTCCTTGTTGCGGGTTCTGAGTCACAAGCTTGATCTTGGCTATTTGTTGTGAATATGCTTTAGTCCCTAGAAATATCAGAATTCTGAGAAATGCGACCAGAGACAGAACCACTACTGAAAAATGGTGGTATTGAGATGGGCAAGCGCTACGGAGAACTGCCAGTAGTTCATCGATCAAAGTCTCCAGTAAAATACTACTGGAACTCAGATGTGGGATGGTGCGAACGACGGCGGAGGCGACGGAATAAAGCTAAGGTAATCTTTTCATACTGATATTCTTTAAAATTGAACATATTACTGGCCCCTACTTTGTTCCCAAGTGTATTGCCATGCAAGAGAGAAACGGGCAACTTCGACCACACCGACCATACCATACATGCCTTCGGAGTACACTTTTTCTCGATTTCTGTGTGTCAGGGACTTACGGGAAGTGATTGCCGTTGCGAACATTCCAGTGCGGTGTAGAATGGTGAAAAGCACGTATAAGGTACAAGTGTAGAGTTTTTCCTTGAGCAGACCCCTCTTGAGGGAGCCATGAATTCCATTTCCACATGGGATCACAAAGGCATTTGAATGGGCGTGTGGTCTTAACAATGACTTGACGTAGACCAGCTTCAAGATCTTCGGATGACTCTTGGCACCAATCTAACGACTAAGGAGGGGTAGGAGTCTGAAATGACAAAAGCTAACGACCAGATAAACGAAAATTTGATCGCCGGGAGATGCGTGTGGTATCAGCGCCACTTGGCACTACCCCAGTTACGCCCATTCTAACGGATCCGATTGGGATTCACATGTAGGGCTTCCAATAGTGAAAACAAATGCAAAAAACATTTCATTTCCTTTCTCATGGTCTTATACCCCATCACAAGGACAGTTTTAGTACTACAGAGAGTTGGAGGAGTTGATGGAAGTCTTCGAGTATGACAATCGAGTTATTGATGGTGATGAACATTCTCTTCAGGTGGGTACTATCTATATAGTATTTCCTGAATTCTCATGATACATTCTCACTTCATTATTGATTTTTTCAGCGTGAACTTGGTCCCGATCGATTCCTTGCCAGAGTTTCCCTTACTTTAAACATCACCCTCCTTCTGGTAAATCTGTTCGCATCCATTGTTACAGGATCGCTATCAATTATAAGGTAAATCAACTTAATCTGTTTCATAGGAACTGATTTTTTTTGTGTGGAGAGAGAGTGGGGGAGGGGGGGAGGAGGAGGAAGGGGGAGAGGAGAATCTTGTCGAATTGTCCGGAACCGACCTCAAACAGTTTTTGGGGCATGCCTAGGCCTCAACACTGAGCCTAACATACGAGGCAGCCTAACCAAAGACCCTAAGAGGTTGAGGTTTCCACAAAATGCCTCGTAAAAAGGAAAAACTACAAAGGGAAGCGCTGGAAGCGATTCAAATGTAATCAAATGGAGTTCTCCTAGCCGGGAATGGTGACGTAAATAGCGTAACGGAGTGGTTTAAGTAAGATGAGAGGGTAAATAAGTAATATAGTGAGGTAAGTAATTTGTAAACAACTCGAAGACATAGATAAGCGATTACAATCAGATCCAGCGACTGCTAGCTTATCCAAATCAATGATAAACTGACCCTATCCTCAGTCTATTAGGTGGAGGGGGGGGGGACTGTATACTAGTCAGGTAGCACTTCTCACCATAGATGGACTCAGTATTAGAAACGATTCCTGGCCCCTGGGCCGCCGAAACACTTCAATTGCTTGTTTATTCGCCTCTTGAGCTATTTCCTTGTTTATTTATTTCCACAAACCTTTTCTTTCCCTCTATGATGAGTTTTTCAGTACATTTGTCGACTCGTTCATGGATATTACAACGGGATTTGTATTAGGCATATGTTTATGGTTGATAAAACATACGAACACTCTGAAATATCCCAGAGGAAGAAGGAGGTAGGTTTCTCTTCGACCGTCTGACATTTGATTATGTCAATTCGGGGATATTCTGAAAAAATCTCATACACTTGTCTACTACTATCAGCAATTATTGGAAAAAGTCGTCAGTCATTCAACATTTTTTGGGTAATTTAGGCTCGAATTGGTGGGAGTGATCCTGAGTTCGATCATTATGGGAGTCGCAAATATGTTCCTAATTATGCAGTCTCTTTCGGCTATCATTTCTGGAAGGGTAAGTTTATAAAATGTGAAAATAAAAATGATAATTGAAGCACTATAATTGGAATGGCCA